TGATTCAGCCATCATTATTACGATATTTATTTCGATACGGCTAAGCTAGTTTCGATCAGCGCTTGAAGACACTTTCGCTACGCAGCTAGGTTTTAATGGTGCATGCGGTCATTCTTCACACGACTTAATATTAGAGCTTTAGTCACATGCCGATAAGCTCGACGACACCAATGTCAGCAGTAATAGATTTTTCTAATAAAAACCATCTCACGTGTAATAAATGGTGGCATTAAGTTCCGATATAGAAAATGTCATCAAAGCTGCAGACTTCAAATAAAATGAAGGTGGCGATGACCTAATATGGTATAAAAATTAAAGCAGAAAATGAAAATTTGGTATGATCCTAGTGTTTAATGTTAGTTCGATTTGACGTTTAAGTAAGTATAAGTAGTATAAGTAATCTCGAGGGGTTATTCTAGATTCGCCTAATTAGTACGAGAGCTCACGGGGCTCAAACCTGATGATGTTGCTAACACAAACCACAAGAGCCGTGCTTCGCAGAATCTACCACCGGATCGGAAACGCGACCCACAGAGAAGATCCGGCGACAAACTCAGTCAACTGTGTGTTACTGGGATAATTTACTCGCCGAGCCCTCCGTTGACTATATTGATTTATAGACGTATATTCTGTGTTATATAAGGTGGGGGACGGCGCGTACGCAGTCCCCACTACCAAAAATTACGCGTCCGAGTTACCCGCATTAGGGGTAATCGCAAGGGTCAACCACTCCGCAGTGCAATGGAGTAGCCTCGCCCTGGGGGAACCGCCTAATTGATCACGGTATCCCCTACGCCAGGTAAGTATGATTTCTCTGCGTCGCTTCAGGAAGGTCTATCGGGCCGTGAGACATCTCGTCATCGCGATGTAGAAATTGTCAGAAAAAGTTTAGTGACATCTATTGGTGTTAGTTGGAACTGGCTTAAGATCTCTGGTTTGTAACGCTTTCAAAATTATAAAGGTGACAAATAAAAATTTTAGCGGTTGAGTTCGATATCATAATAACTTCAACAAATTGAGTGGTCGTATTAGAATAAAAGGCGAGGAGAATTTTATTCCTTGTTAATCCATATCTTCCTCAGAACCTCATCAATCGCAATAGGTATGTAATTTTAAAGTAACAAATTACTAGCACGTTTTAAATCTTTAATACCACGACCGGCGAATTAATGAATGGAATTAGATGTTTCTCCCTGTACCTTAGAAGTCATGGAAAATTTATCGGTTGCAAGTAGCGCGATTATTTTAATTAACTCTACGCAAAGTCTATTAGGGCGTGTTTTTGTAACTTACTTTTAGTTTTCATTTCGATACCAATTTCATGTACCAAGTACTAAAATAAAAACCAATAATTGTTGCTTTCAATTTATATTTTAGGCATACGGATTAGATTAAAACTTTAGACTGCTACTTACAATCCCGTATGGTCTAGTGGCTAGGATACCTGGCTTTCACCCAGGAGGCTCGGGTTCGATTCCCGGTACGGGAAGCCTTTTTGCTTTTTGTATCAATTTGATTCCAAAATATTTCGCACATGCCACGTTAGCTCGTGATACGAATAAATGAAAGAATTATAAAACTCACGCTACAAGAAATATTGACAACATGGCTGTACCTGATGGAAATAGGGCTTCAGATATAGTTTATTTAAGATATTTAAGATAAGAAATAAAACTATATTGTTAGCAAAAAAATTGTGAAAACGTTTACCGGATGACGATATATTTTTTTTTAAATTATAACACTTATTATCTTTCTTAAAACGTTATAAAATAGCTAATAGCATTTTATAGCTATGTAATTACATAATATATTGTCATTATTTCAAATTATCGATTAAAACACGTTAATGCAACGAAATGAGCGTATTCCAGTTAGAAAGTGCCACTTCGGGTGGATCTGTCATAATAAATAATACTGATATCGACTTTATTTTATTTATTGGGAGGTGGTTGGCAATGATCACGGTTTGAAGTGGAAAAAGCAAAAAACATTTGTCAGAAGTGGGATTCGAACCCACGCCCTCAGAGAGGACCAGAACAACTCAGACCTACTATTGAATAGGCAAGGGTATCCTTGAGTCTGGCGCCTTAGACCGCTCGGCCATCCTGACATATGGTGGTGAACACAAAATTAAGTATTATTTTCTAAAGTCATGTCAATTTTAAGTAATTCAGACAAAATTTTAGTTCTATTTGCCTTTAAGGAAATCATTATAGCAAAATAATTAATTTGCGATTCCTTAGATTTTAAATGGTAAATCAAAACTGTCATTTAAGTTCGCTCAATATTACAACCATATGTTAGTAAAAAAATTGGTAAAACTAATTTGAAAATCGATTTTGTTTTGCGTAAGAAAACTTTATTATTTTACTGCCATCTTTCGGAANAAATTTTAGTTCTATTTGCCTTTAAGGAAATCATTATAGCAAAATAATTAATTTGCGATTCCTTAGATTTTAAATGGTAAATCAAAACTGTCATTTAAGTTCGCTCAATATTACAACCATATGTTAGTAAAAAAATTGGTAAAACTAATTTGAAAATCGATTTTGTTTTGCGTAAGAAAACTTTATTATTTTACTGCCATCTTTCGGAATCACACGGTATTAGTATAGCAATTGCATATTCTTAGGAACAGTCATCTAAGTTTATCAGACAGTCGCTAGAGAGCGGTAAATTAGTGGAATCCAATTTTTTGGCGTTTGTATCTTACTTCAATATTACCTACTTCCTTGTACCTAATCATTCCAGCGGGATCCCGCGGTGATTTCAACGTGCATTCTTTCACCACTCTGTACTGGCAATAACCATCTACTGTTATATTCATATCACTCATTCATAGCTTGCTGATCGCCTTGCAGTTCATAGTATGCGATGTAGAATACGACTTGCAGCTTAGCCTACATACAAAACCTTCGATCAACAATAGTAACTAGATACACGGTAGGTGCAGAAAATCCGTCTCGTCAAATAACAGCTCACTTGAAATGTGCGCTGTTATTTTGTTTAGTTCACTTCAAATTGTTACTATTGATGATCGAAGTACAAAACCCATCGAAATTCTCGTCGAATTTTCTGTGGGTCGCGATTCTGATCCGTTGGTAGATTCCGATAGGTAAAGGTGAGCACACATAAGCTCCTATCTCTACCATTCAATAGGCAGTTAATTTTATTGTCGTGAATGATTTTGATTTAGGGTAAATGCGTAACAAGCTTCCTAAATTGAAATTACTTTTACAGAATAATCAATATTATTATTGTTTATTTATAATACATATTTAATTGCTGGTGGTAGGACCTCTTGTGAGTCCGTGCGGGTAGGTACGATGACCCTGCCTATTTCTGCCGTGAAGCAGTAATGCGTTTCGGTTTGAAGGGTGGGACAGCCATTGTAACTATACTTGAGATCTTAGAAATTGTGGGTGGCGCATTTACATCATAGATGTCTATGGGCTCCAGTAACCACTTAACACCAGGTGGGCTGTGAGCTTGTCCAACCATCTAAGCAATAAATAAATAAAATCCAGTAACCACTTAACAACAGNCCTATTTCTGCCGTGAAGCAGTAATGCGTTTCGGTTTGAAGGGTGGGACAGCCATTGTAACTATACTTGAGATCTTAGAAATTGTGGGTGGCGCATTTACATCATAGATGTCTATGGGCTCCAGTAACCACTTAACACCAGGTGGGCTGTGAGCTTGTCCAACCATCTAAGCAATAAATAAATAAAATCCAGTAACCACTTAACAACAGGTGAGCTGTGAGCTCGTCCAACCATCTAAGCAATAAAAATCACAAAAAAATAATAATTAAAACAGACAATATGTATTCATTTTAGCTACAACAATCATAATAATAATTAGTGTTCAACAAATTCTACAACATTCTTCAAAAGCAAACCTTTATTGAAGTTCATGGGCTCACCCAGGTTCCCACATTAGCCACCCCACATGTCCTGAATTGCAGCCACTTGTTTATTTTAAAACCATTTCAAATGTTATGCATAGGGTGTTCTATCATACTGTTAGTATTATAAGCTGTGCTTTTTGTGATATTCATGGATAATAATTTCACGGATGGAATGCTAGAAAGTTAATGAACAAATACACTAGAAAACTCTTTATTTAAAGTTTAAGATAACATTTACTTAAATTTTTAACTATTATAAAATTAGAATCATTACCAAAACAGTTTGTTGGTTCTTCTGTGAGGCAGTAATCAAGCTATGGTTTTACAGTTCTTATTCTAAAATCAAAGTGTTTTAGGTTCATTATATTCAGGAAAATTAGCTAGATTGTTGTTTCTTAAAGATATTACACATGGCTGTTACCTATAAATTGAAAAAAATTAATTGTGTTTTAAATATTAACTGATAGTTTCTTGCTTCATCATATTATATCTTTATCAATGTTATAGATTCTTGATGTGTAGAGTTCTTTCTAGAGTCCACAAGTGGAGAGCACAGAGCACTTATTTTTAATTAGAAATGGCATAATAAATGAAATGACAAAATTTGTTTTCCTATTCATATATGAGTCGTCTATTATCAAAAGTGGCAATCTGTGCATTTGGACAAAAAAATGTTATTGATATGTCAATACAGATTGATTTGAATATAATCGTCTCCTTCAAAGAATACGGTTCAAAACCTGCATTAAATAAAGGTTAATACTTAATCTGTTATTTATCTAAGATGTCGTTCAGAAGAGTTTTGTGACTGCCAATGGAATACAAAGTCAATAATTCGTTTTTCTGATTTACCAATAATTGTCTAACGTCTGTGGAACTCAGTTCCGCACTCAATCCATGCAAGTTCCTCACTTGAAGTATTCAGGAAGGCATTAAAGGAGCGCTATCTATTGATTTAGTATTACTGTATCATATGTATTTATTTTATATATTTCATTATATATGTATGTGTATGTATATTTTTGTTATTTATGTGTGTAATTGTGTATGTATATAGTCTGATATATTATGTATTAGTGTTTTTATTTATTATTGTTACTATTATTGTTATTGTGTACTGTATCAATAAGTAAATTGATTAGATTGTACTTTTCTACCCACCTATGTAAAGCTCACTCTCTTTAAGAACGATTAACTGGTAGATAGCTCAATTGTTGAGTTAAGCTTGCCATTTTTTTAACTTTTCGCAATTATTATATTGTTTTAACTGTGTGTGTACAATAAAGAATGCCATTAACCATTTCAAGTTTGGATAGTCTTCAATTTATTATATTCATATTCACTTCTATTATTTTCAAGAATATAAGCTGTTAAGTTTTAGTATTAGGATATTGCTGACAAAAAATTCAGGTCTTTGTTAATTTGCGTTTAATAGACTTTACATGAGCTGATCTTCAGCACTCAATAATCAGCACTTAATAAATGGACTTAGGCAAACAGTTCACAATTTACAGTTCTCATTCAGTCATCGACAACAACACCGTTCAAAGCCTCATTCAAAATTTCATTTCTCTTTTTCTTTAGTTCATTATTTATGAAAGATCTCTTTTCTTCGCGTTTATTTTGCTTCTCTGAATTGGTTCTAGCAACAATGCCTTTTATAAAACTATATATCACAGTGGTAAAGTCTCCGTCTATGAATGCTAAATTTATCATAGGTCCCGTTTCTACTGTACACAGATTTACCTGTAATTCATTTATTAAATGCATTGTGACATCGTCGTGCGTAGCAACTGGCACGTATATGTTCAGTTTGTCATTTTTATTTCTTCTGGCGACAACATAAAGCGTTTCTATGTCTCTATTGTAACAATATTCACAGTCGTACATGAGTTTTTCGTCGATCAAATACATGTACAAATGATAAGCAAGCGATATCTTCTTTTCAGATTTACATCCAAGAGAGGACATATCTTCTTTAATCTTTGACTCCACGTCCATTTTATGGTGTTTCAGATTTCTGACTAAAGATGAGGGGAGTACCTAATACCTATACTTTATTATACTCTTGTGATTATAAGCTATTATACCCTAAATAAAATGTATCTGAATTCATGCCATTTGCATTTTCATCATAAATAATGTGTGATCTATATTTTTACAATTATTATTTCTTTTGTTGTTGTATTACGGTTATGATTATAAACACAAGTGTACATATTTTAGAAGATGCTTGGATCCTTCGTTAGAAGTAATAGTGTTCTGTGCTTGGATCCTTGGATCATTGATCATAGTCATGGTTGTCAAATGTCAAAGTGATAGATGAAAGTAAAGTCTTGTTCGCTTTGTCAATTTGAATGCGCAAAGGGAATATGGTCTGGTCCAGCTTAATTTAGGTGATTTTGTATTTGTGCGCATGTGTTTTGGTTGAAAGTAAAATCTATACTTCGATACTAATATTATAAAGAGAAAGATTTGGTTGTTCGTTTGTATCGAATAGGCTCTGAAATTACAGAACCAATTTGAACAATTCTTTCACTGTTTGGAAGCTACACTATCCCCGAGTGACATAGGCTATATTCTTTTTTTTTTTAATAGTGTTATACTGCAATATATTTAACTCCAATAATGTAACCCAAAATATTCTGTAACCCAAAATATACCCAAAATATATGTTTACACTATCTTTATAATTTTCTTTTTTTTAACCTGACGCAAATAGAAGGGTGATGTGTGTGTGTTATAATTTTGAATTTTGAAATTTTTGTTAAAGACTCGAGCGAAGCTGGAGCGGCTCGCTAGTATTAAATAAAGTGAAATTAAGAAAACGAAATGAAACAATAAAGATGATCCTGTTAATGATTGCATGTTGTTTGCCTATTGTGTGAAAATTTTAAATAGAACGATATGCGTTGCAGATGTTGGAGTTGTTGAAAATGCTTATTTCCAGTGAAGCCCGGGAAGGTGCGCGGTGACAGAACTCGCACGGCTCACGAGTCACCTACACCACATGATTTATTTCCACAACCAAGAGTGCGCATTTGTCGTGTCTCACGCTTGCTATAGTGCGCGCGGAAGCGCTAGTCACCTCCTGAGGTTTGTGGCGGGGTAAGACGGGGCAGGGCGTGATTGACAAGACGAACACGATATTATAATATATTTAAGTGCAGATAAATCTTAGAATAACATGTTAGAATTAATGTAATGGGTACCTACGCGCACACTATAATTGATGTGTATAGTACACTTAACCTTTATGTTGAAGCCAAACTAGTATAATGTCATGCAATGATTCAGAATCACATGAATGATCGTATAAAACTCAATTCATTAGCGATTTCATTCAAAACAGAACTTTTTTGACGCCTGTTTTAATTATCTATGTGGTCTGGTTGTACTGGTAACTTCGTGTGTCTTTGTATGCTGTTGTGACTTCACACTTATCATTTACGTGGATCCAAGAGGAGGGGATTCTGAGCGAGCATGCGCCATAGTGACTGGGTAAGAATAAACTGTTGGTGACCACAAATAAGATCCTAACTAACCATAATTGTAATTTTTTTACCTTCTTATCTTTAAAGCAATAAAAACTCCATCTCGATTTATGAGTGCTCCTTACGAACACAATATATCCATAGTATTAAGACGAACAACAATAAGTAACAGTAATCATTCATTTATTTCATAAAACCATTTACAGAACGGCATTACAATATCCACTGTACAATTTATGGTGGGTACGTAAATCTATATAAATCGATCTGAAATGCCGTATATATATAAATATCAGTATATAATAAATAAGGGTGAGGAGTTAAGTTAAAATAGATAAATTAGCAAGTACATTATTTCATCAGTCTAAGTATTTACAACATAAACACCTTACAATTAAAAATGTAAAAAAAAAAAACTTTTAAGTGATGTGGCCACAAACAAATAAAAGCACAAAATATTAATTAACTACGTTTACAGGTGGAATCGAGTAAAGAGCTTGTATACTATTTACAAGATTTCACCCAATTATGACTATATTTAAAATATTGATGGATGACTCTTGTAAATATCATGCTAATGAGAGACATCTTATAATTAAAAAAAAAGAAACGTGTGCAATTCACACGTGTTAGAAGTGAAACCTTCAAAAATTAAAATACAATTATCGTAAATGTCTAAATATATGTAAAATTTTGTCATTAGTAAATAATTGTAAATCATCTTTTATAGTATGAGGTAGCGCCCTCTGTGAATCGATATTTTAACGTCACGTATAATCCTAAATTGAAATTCACTACAAGAGGTTTCATACGCACGTTAGTATTAAAAAATCTCATAGATGGCGCTGTATTAAAATTTTTCGACACTTCCGTTGCATACCTGCGTGACGTTACATCTGTAAAAATTTTACCCTCATGCGCCAAAGAAGTTTCACTTCAAAATACGTTTTCGATCCGAAAAACTGAGGAAAACCAATTGTTAGAACAACGATACCCTTTATACATCAAGCATCGTCGACAACGAATTTAAAAAATAATGGTTTGAAGCCTCTAGGATTTATTGGCGCGAAAACCAAATTATTTACATAAATTAACAGTTAGGTTGTTGTTAATGAATTATTATAAAAGGCTTTTGCTAGTTTTGATACATTTGCCTCTGAAACATATTTCGGTTTCATGTGATACTTGTGTTGTCATTGATGTGCTCACGACATTGGCTGGGTCCATAAAAGATGACATAGATGACGTTTCAATTTCGGCAGAAGACGTTTGAAATTTGACCGTTGGCGTTACGGTACTAGCAGAAATGTCAATGTCAGCACTTACGTCTTTCTTCGGGGTTCCGTTAGACTCATTGTTGCTTTCAGTTGTTATCTCATCGGGAATGTAAGTAGTCTCTGTTGTTACTATACCAGGTTTGGATTCCGTTGTTATTTCAAAATCAGTTTTCGTCGTTACATTTGTACCAGTTTCTTGAGATTCTTTCTCTTGTGACCTAGCACCGAAAAAATAATCCATGAAACTGAAACCTTCTGACCTATCGATTTTAGTTGCTTCTGTAGTTGTTAGATAAAAATCGTCGATAGTGGGGTCTGGTGATCCTGTACCTAGATCTAAATCTCCTGGATTCAGGTACGATTTTTCCGTTGTAGTATTCTGCTTAGACGTGGACTGCTGATCTTCCTTTTCTGTCTCTTTTATCTTAGTTATTTCAACAGTGGGGGGAACTTTCCGAAGCATAGTATCTTCATTACTTTCAAACAAATCTTTGATGAATTGAAAAGCTGGCTTGTAAGTTGTGACTGCGATCTTTTTGTCATATTTTTCCGATTTTTCGTGGTTGTATTTCGAGTTTTTAATTGGTTGGCCGAGACGATTCACTGTACTACTGTAGTATTGAGACTCCGCGACGTCTATAGGATCAGTAACTGGACGAACTTTGATTTTCTTCCAGAAGCCACGACGACGAGTTTTTCTTTCTTGTTCCTCCTACAACAAGAAAATTGAATGTTTGTACATCAGTAATTCAGGCTAGTTAAATAATAACTATGAGTTCATAAGTATTGATTTTAGATGAATTAGTCACTGAAATGGTACTTGAACGTAAAATTCATACTTTAATAGATAATTGATATCAGATATTCATCTATGGTAGTAAATAAAGCTACTGTAGCTTACTAATATTATCAGTTGAAAGAATCAGGATCTCATTTGATTGCTTAATATTTTCAAATATCTTGCGGATTTGTTAAATAAAATAATCTTACCTCATTTACTGCTTCAGTATCGGCAGAGGATTCCGCAGTTGTTTCTTCAATAGCAATGCTTGTAGGCTGCGAAGCGTCATCAGAAGAAATAGTTTCTGGTGGTATTTCACCAATTTCACCCCCTTTATGCTTCATCACTTTAGTTGTATACTCGTCTTGATCTTGCTCTTCCAAGCTCTTCATCACTTCTTCCAGCATACTTTCGAAAGTAGACATTGATTCGACTGAGTCTGGCTTAGTAATTTTACTTTGTTCTACGAATGCTTCTAGTGTGGGAGGGATTTCTGGAATGTTTTTGCTATTCCTATTGTTGTATGCTGGTGTTACAGAGATAAGAATATCATCGTCTTGATTTCCTACTGTTATTATATCCATTTCTGAACCCCTGTCCGATCTTCTCTCGGTTGTAACTGCTTTTTTGTCATCCCCTATGTTGTTTGGGTTAAAAGGTTTGAATGACTCATTGGTAATTTTAGGAGACCAGAAAATTGAGTCAGGTTCGACATAACTTGGTCTGTTTATAGAAAAGTTGGAGTCTTGATCTTCAACATCTTCTTCAGATTCCTGTTTCTTAGTATATCTTTCTGAAAGCTTAGGTCTAGGACTATAACGAGTGTAAAGTGGACTTCTAGTTGTTGAACTAATAACCTCCGTCGGTTCAGGTTTTTCAGAAGGTTTTTCCGTTGGTCGTCTTCCTCTGAATCGATTCTTAATATCATAAGTTCTTCGAGTTACTGATGATTCAGTAGTGGAAGTAATATGGGAGTAGCTTGGGCGTCTTCTCCTGAAGTGTCCTCGTTTAGTTGTAGTTTCCTGACTATCTGTATTAACTGGTTCTGTTGACGGCTCAGGCTTATACACTGGATGTTTGAAATCCTCAACTTCTGGTCGCGAATGCACTTGTTTTGTTTTTAGATCAGCTTCTATTTCTTCAATGCGCATGGTCGTTCTTTTTCTGTCATATGCAGGTCTGTAAGTCACGCCCTGTGGTCGTCGCCTTTCAGATTTAACTCTCGATGACTCTGTAGTTGACTGATGGTATTGTCGAACGACTCCTGGGCGAACACGGACTCTATGGTACGATGGTGTAGTTTCGATTGAATCATCGTCCTCGATTTCTTGGCTATTAGACTCATGTTTAGCTACTTTAGTGACTTCTATATCAGGTGGTGTGGTCGGATCCTCAAGAGTATCGCCAGACAGTTCATCATTAATGGAGTATGCTGGTAAATTGTCGTCAGAAGCAAAATTTACTATGTCGGTAACGTAAGCGTTGGATTCAAAATTTTCCGATTTATTTACTGACGTAGTTTCAGGTGAGTAACTTTCTTCCTTATCTGTTTCAAGATATTTTTCTTGTTCTGCTGGTGCAGAGCCGTCACTTGAAGGATAGTAGTATTCTTCATTACGTGTTGACGGCAAAAACGGGACGTATGGTGGTTCAGTTTGACCTGTTCCACTTAAAGAATACTTCGGCACATAAATATCTTCTTTGTACTCTTTCTCACTAACTGCAGACTGACCAGATTGACTGAATGACATTTTCTCGTTCGAATAAGCATTTTCAGTGTCCAAGCTTTCAGTTTTTGGGACATCACTTTGAGCTTTAGCTGGTTCGGTAATAGCTTCAATATCAACTGTACTAGATCTCTCCATCAGAGTTACAGGATAATTCTGATGTAGCACATCTCTTTGATAAGCCAAATCTTCTTCTTTGCCGTTAGACTTAACTTTTCTGTCATAATAATCAGTACCGGTTGGTCTGTATTGAATTCTGCCTCTTGTTCTAGTGCGTGTTGCCCTAGTTGTACTTTCATTGGAATCTACAGGTGTTTTTGGTTTTTCAGTGGTAAGTCTATTTGGTTCATACTTATTTCTGGTTGGCAATGGTCTACGTTCGCGCAAAGGTCTGCGGGTGGCTACATATCTTGTTGTAGATTCATTTGAGTTTGGTCTTGATGTAGTGTATCGTGGTCGTCCTCTGGTCCTGAGGATGTTTTTCCTTGTTGAAGCCTCTGTCGTTGTTGTGGTAGTTGTGTCTTCATTTTGATCTATAGTTTCATATCGATTGTACTCATAAGTTTGTGAGCCGTCTTCAGACGATGGGGCTTGATTGGATACTGCGGTACGATGCTCATCCTCAGATATATTTGGCTTTGATTCAGTGAATTTCGTATTTGTGTAGTCTGTTGGATTTTCGTTGATGGATTGCGCTTTAAAATGATCGGATTGTGTCTCGGGGATTTCCAGTTCTTGATTCGTTTCACTTTTAGCTACATAGTCGTTAGTATTATAGACTGGGTATCTAGAGTTCTGTACTTCTGATTCATAATGTACTTCAGGTCTATAGCTTTGGGCGTAGTTCGGTGTAGATTGCTGCTGGTATTGCCTTTGGGTTGCCACTTCTGTGTCTGTTTGTGTTGTCGTAGTTATAGGCTTCAGTGTGGAGGAAATTTTAATGTCTTGAGGTCCCGGAGTGGGGGAAGGTTCTTTTATGTCTTCGAAGTAGCTGTGGTAGTCTAATGGGGTGCTAAAGTGGAAGGCTTGGTTTATTGAATAAGGGTTGTGGGTTTCCAACAATTGGCTCGGGTATGTTGATTGCCTGATTGCGGTGGTGGTACTCGTAGTCGTAGTGGGTCTCTGAGTTGTAGTCGTCGTCGGCTGAGTTTGTGTAGAAGTCCTGTACGTTTCTTGAGGACTGAAGTTATTGTCCGGGAATTTTATATGTTGCGTATACTGCGGCTGTGCATTGTTCAAGAAATAATTAACTCGCTTTGGTGGTAATGTGACTACTTCTTCCTTTTGCGGTTTTATTGAAGATACCATCTGGGGCTCAAACGAATAGTAATTCGTTTGGAAGTTTGTATTAGCTCTTGGAGGTACCGTGCTATAAAAACTCACTGAAGGTTTCTGAGTTACTGGCTTCTGCTCTTTACGAGGAGGTGTTGTTGGGTAATAGGATTGTGGGACAACATTCGAAACAGTTGTTAGGGTAGTCGGTTCTTTGATCTGAGCGTTGATTACGACAGAACCCACGTGAGGTGATGGGAACGGAATCTTCGCGAATCCTTGGGGAGTGTTGTAGCTCAGAGGTGCAACGAAGAATGGCAGCTGTTTCAGCTTTTTATCACTATTTTGAATATTCGATAGATATGGTAATTCAAACTTCACGTAATGGTCTGGTGGAGTCAGTGTTGATGGCCCTATGAAGACTTTTGGAGCGTTCAAGGGGTTAACGGAATCTAGTACAGCAATAGTGCTAGCGGTCTTCAATGATGACAGTACATCGCCTACTTTCATTTGACTGGTCTTCCCAGTTTCTTGACTCAAGAATATGGCCAGAGGAGGTTGATGAGGTTTCAGTTTCTTTAGTTTCGGTGTCGTTGGTGCAGCGGTCGGGAACGGTGAAGTGGTTGTTGAATATTTTGGGACATTGGGTGTTTTAAATTGGTTAAAATTCGAGACATAGGTTTGCTCAGGGTACATCTCTGATTTCGGTGTAGGCCTTTGGAAATTAGTATATGTTTGCTTTATTGCTGTCGGATTGGGTAACCCTTGGTTGTAAATATCGGTACTGACAATCTGTGGTGATGTGATTGGGCTTCTGAAGTTAAACTGGCCCCTGTTAAGTGATTCCACCGGCACATACAACAGTTGCACTTCTTCTCTTTCTAATTTTTGTCCATTTTGTGTTGGCTCTGTTCTCGTGTTGACTTTCTCTGTGTTTTCAAATTTGATTTTCTGTAGTGATTGCGGTTTTTTGCTTGGGCTGTAGTAATTATTGCTCGTATTCTCAGCACGGTAGCCGTCAACGAATTGAGGTGCAGAGTCCTGTGGCTTAGGTGGCTGACTTATGAAAGTCTTAACTTGTGGCGTTGGTAAAGGTTTCGGGAAACTCTCAAATTTGACAGGATTTGTTAGGGCTGCTTGAGGCCTAGGTATAGTTTCGAAGCTCAGCTGAGGTGAAACATAACCTTGGCCTAATGGAAATGATGGTTGGGCGAGACCAAATTTGATTGCTTGTCCAAAGCTCTGTTCTGTCAAAAAGTTTTGCGGCGCGGAAGGTACCGCAGGCACAGACTGCAAAAACAATTGCCTGTTAGCTGGAGAATTGTAGAATGCTCTTTGTGGAAATATCTCTTGTCCAAAAGCAGTTGGCCTCGTTAGGGATTCTGTCAAGATCCTTGGTTCAGCGACAGCTTGTCTCTTGATCTGCGGCATTTCTGGTTCTCTTTCGACCGGACCTGATAAGGGAACCCAGTCGCTAATGTCGGCGGTATATGAACTGATTTGACGGGACCATCTTCCGTTTTTCTTTTCAGCTGATGAAAACGCCAGGACCGTAATGAGGCAGGCGTATCGGAGCACGTTTTTGTGCGCCATCTGGAATTGAACAATAGTGAATTTAAAAAAAATCGTTTTGATGTGGAACTACGACAACTGTTTAATCTTCAATGGTAGATTCTTCAGTACATTTAGCATGCGTCAACATACACAAAAACACAAATCGTATTATTACTATTAAGGGTTTATTTTTTAAAGTAACTTCGAAATTCACTTAATAGATTTTTTAGTATCAACCAGACTGCATCCAAATTGGTTCTTTAGCAGAAACCCACTAACAAACAGACAGACAGCAAATATGTTTGTAATATTGTAAATAGAAAAGAAAGACCATTGCCAACGGCTTCGGAAGACTCGTTAACCAAACAATAAGCGGCTCAATAGAAAACCCGTCTTTTGTAAAGCAATTATCATTATCATAATATGTCTATTCCTTCCGTCGAAGACAAATATTAACGTTTCAACTCTAATAGACTCGGTTTTACCGTCAGACTTTTCCTTTCCAAATGTGAAAACGTTCCAAGACCACTGACTTTCACTCGGTGAAGCGTCGCCGAGAAAAATATACATTTACATCATTTTTGTGTTAAGTTCTAAACGATTATGGAGTTTCTTTTCATTTTGTTGGAGACTAGTTAATTTGGTAGTAGTATTGTCATTCTGTATAGTTCGGGTTTGTCTGACTGAGAATTAGCTTAGCTCTACTCGTAAAGACCAGCTTTACTTGACCTGACTACCGCTAAGATTATCGATATTGTTCAGTGCTATTTTGAACTTTGGACCGAATGAATTTTTTTTTCAATAATTGTGACTATCGACGTAATTTTTAATAATTACATAATCATATCTCTTCTTTTTTATTTTGTTCCAATAACGAAGAAGAGATTTAGGGTTGCCTGCCTCTGGATTTACATAGTTACCAACGTACATATTAATCTTTTTCATTTTCAGTACCTACATGCCTAAATGTTCTCTGTTAAGAACATGTCGCGTCTTTAGAATTGAAGTGATCCAAAATTCTTGTTATTTTGTAAATGCCAAAAATGTTATTAAAGAATTGTATATATTAATTTTCGATTTTAATACTTTAAGCCTTAAAGTGCATATCTTAAAGCTTAAAATTTGCGCTTGATTTAAATGAGACGGAAGACTTTGTCCTTTTCTACGCAAAAATTTAAAATTAATTTTGAATTTAAAAAAAATAACTATACCTATATATACTGATAGAATGCATTTTTATAAGTCATTCAAAGTATAAAACTTATTGTCTTTTAAAAATTTGTTAAGCCACTTAAATTGTAAAGGTGTGTTATACAAAAATTTTTTTTTTTTTTTATATTACTTAGATGGGTGGACGAGTTCACAGCCCACCTGGTGTTAAGTGGTCACTGGAGTCCATAGACATCTACAACGTAAATGCGCCACCCACCTTGAGATATAAGTTCTAAGGTCCCAGTATAGTTACAACGGCTGCCCCACTCTTAAACCGAAACGCATTTTTGCTTCACGGCAGAAATAGGTGGGGTGGTGGTACCTACCCGTGCGGACTCACAAGAGGTCCTACCACCAGTGAGATTCGATGACGGAACGAGATAATTAATCACAGAAAATCAATGCAGCTATTGCGTCCATCACGACTTATGTGTTTAAAAACCCATACGCTAAAAGGAAAGTGAGTCGTGCGTCCGCTTAGAGAAGTTCGCCTACATCTAAAACAGTAACCGTTTATAAATGAAGCAACAAATCAATTTGCATGGAAGCGACACGCGCGGCTTGGCATCTCGGCTGAGTTGCGTCCAACGGAACGTGTTCAACCGCTATCCACTGTACCGACCGTACGCCACATTTTACGTAATCCCTTACATCAGCTTTATAAGGAACATCTTGAACGCTGACCGCTTGATACTACAGATTAGCGTAATGCGTACCTACACGTATAAGCTTAGTGTGAGTTTTCGATATCGTAAAAGTTAGCTCTGCAGTTGGGACACATTCTCGATCCTGCGGACAGAATGGAAAGCAGTCGACGTCGCCCCAAACACGTCATTTCGGATCCTCCCGATCCACTAACGGTACTTTTAGATACCTCAAGCACCGGTCATCGTTCTCGTCGAACCCGTCGCTTGCGACGAAGGGCTCGGTGAGTAAGTTAACCCTCAGACACAGCCCACTGAGTTTCTCGCCGGATCTTCTCAGTGGGTCGCGTTTCCGATCCGGTGGTAGATTCTGCGAAGCACGGCTCTTGCTAGGGTTCGTGTTAGCAACGTCATCAGGCTTGAGCCCCGTGAGCTTACCTACTAGTTAAGGTTACGCTGATATAGCCGCTCAAGGCTCTCAGCTTAGGTAGGAAAAAAAAAGTTGGGACAGTGCCCCTAGTGGCAAACGTAGGCAAACGTTCCAACTGCATACAAATTTAAGTTTACTTTTACGCTATCGAGAACGTCAAATAACTAATAGCACTAAGCACACTAATAGTCTCGTTAATATTTACTATTCGTAGAAAAAATACATCTAGAAATCTATATCCATAAAACAATTTGTTGTATTTAACTGGTATTTAATTCCCTTTTAGACACGGCTTTACTTGCGTGAATATAAACAAATAAACCCCTCTGGAATATGTTACTTTCTGTATCCCTAACAAAACAACGTATATGCAAAATCACTAGATCATGACGTGAGAGCGTTACAAATAGACAAACTTACTTTCGTATTTAAAAATATTGTATATATCATAATAATATGTTCTATGTTTATTTTCTTCAAGTTCAGTTACATTGGATGAAATTTAAAGCTTTAAATTTAACACATTATTTGGTGAAATATTGTTTTACACGCCTTTCAAATTTCAATAGCAATACATTTTAAAATTAAATTCATCCAATATGAATGTACTCATTAGTAGGCGCCGTTGCGTCCTTTTATCAGCAGAGTTTTTATGGTAGAACGAGCTATACATAACGCGACAATGGTGCCAATAATGAGATTTCAACAAATTATTAACTAGTGAACGTCAGCATAATAATATAGTCGAGTATATATTTCGCATTATTTACGAAAGGTCATTTTGATATTGTACATCCACGCGCTCTCAATGTTTAAAGGTCAAACTAGTGTCATATGATGGTTAAAATAGTGAAACCTAACTCGCAGACACAGCCCACTGAGCTTTTCGCTAGACTTTCTCATTGGGCCGCGATTCCGATGCGGTGATAGATTCAGGGAAGTGCTGTTCTTTCTAGAGCTAGTGTTAGCAAACTAGCTAGTTTTTACTGGTGGTAGGACCTCTTGTGAGTCCGCGCGGGTAGGTACCACCACCCTGCCTATTTCTGCCGTGAAGCAGTAATGCGTTTCGGTTTGAAGGGTGGGGTAGCCGTTGTAACTATACGGAGACCTTAGAACTTATATTGCATTTACGTTCTAGATGTCTATGGGCTCCAGTAACCACTTAACACCAGGTGGGCCAGTGAGCTCGTCCACCCATCTAAGAAATAAAAAGTCATGTTGAGGCCCCTGTGTTCACCTGCCGGTCTTTTGCGTAGCTTATATAGCGCCTTTGACTACCAGTGATTAGGTAGAAGAAAAAAAAGTCTAAAATAGTAAAATACCGACCTTTTAAATCATTACTGTTGTCAAAGTCAAACAAAAGATACAATGCCCGCTGAAATATAGCCATCGAGCTCTCTATAATGTTTGTCACGTAATTATAAGAAACATCAAAACATTGCTTCGTTTTATTTAAAAACAATGACAAATAAAAATATTGTCAATTTGTAGCCGTTGTAATTATACTGGGACCTTAGAACTTATATCTCAAGGTGGATTGCGCATTGACGTTGTGGATGTCTATGGGTTCCAGTAGCCACTTAACACCAGGTGGGCTGTGATCTCGTCCACCCACCTAAGCAATAAAAAAAAATTAAAAAGGTAATAAATTAACGTATCTGCTATACACAATGAAATTATCATTATCCGTGAATCGATTTTAATGATTAATTAATTAAGGCGTTTACGTATATTTTTACCACACAATAGGCATCGTGTGTGAGTTAACAAAATAATTATAGAATACATAATACTAATCAGTGAGACATGGCTCGGTGGTTAGAAAGAATGTGGTTCGTGGGAGTTCGAAGCGCAAATATTCAGTTATAATTTTTTTTAGCTTTCAGATAGGTATCGAAAATGATCACTAGGAGAGCTCACTGAATGTTTAGCTTAGTGTTTATAGGATCTGGTACCCGCTTAATACCAAATGTAATGGGAACAAAATAACACTTAGTTTCAGTTACAACTCATTTTATTTGGATATGTTTTAAAGTAACAAAAAAATCACACTATATTCTTGTCTCTATTAATACGCTTTTATTAGCTTCAGACGTAGCTATGTATGTTTGTAACGGAATCTGTGAACATGATTTTGATCCCCTTCAAAACGTCGGATTAACTCGAAATTTGGTATACTTATTAAGGACCGATGACCATTCAATTATAAAAAAATATATGGAAAATTTTTTAATTCAACTAAAAAGTGAAAAATTAATCATAGTTTAAAAAAAGCTAACAAAATACGCTTTTATCTACAAATAAATATTATTTATTCGTAGGCTTTTATAGAAAATCCAACTAAAAAATGAAAATAAATTTGAATTAAAAATAGTGTAAGAAAATACGATTTTATTATAAAAAAAGTGTTGGGTGCATGGTTATAAATATTTTATGAACAGATACAGTAAAAGGGTAGTTTTGATAATATCCTGAAAAGCACTCCACGATTAAAAAATCGTGTAAAATTCGTTATTGTAAAAACAATAAAATCATCTTACACAATTTTTAATTCATATTGATTTTATATTTTTTAGTTGGATTTTCTATAAAAGCGTATTGTTAGTATTTTTAAACTATTATTTATTTATCTTAAAACCTGTCATTTCTTCGATGAGCCGCTAGAGTTACAGCATGTATTCCTTCAAACAATGTTTTAGATTGTTTCA